TCCCTTCCAACCCTACAACGATTCTATGATTCTATGAAAGAGTCTAAATTGAGGGCTTCAGTAGACAAGCACGGATCCCAGCTAACTGGGTCTGATGAGAAATTTGAACTTCCTTGTTCTGCAGTAAGGCTTGAATGTGTGCTGTTTTCACTCACAACAGAAGGCCGCAAGGCGAGTACTTAGTACATTTAAACTATGGCACATCTGAGGATTAAAAATAAACAAACTGCAACTATTTATTTAGTCCAGTGTAACCGGGGTGTTAGTCCAGAAACAATTGATATCTCTAGGTTCTCCTTCTTACCTTGCCGTTTCTTTTCTTCTTCAAGGACCTTGATTTGGGTTTTACTCAGTGCGACTACACCACGAGAGAAATGTGAATTCATTTGCTGTGAAATTACACTGGGGAGATCCGGTTTTCCCGGGTCTGTTCATATAAACTGGACACAGAAAGGAGGAAATTGGCTTGTTAGCACAGCTACAGAAGAGCGACTAATAAACTGTAGACACGAGAAGAGTGATGATTTTCTCCTGTCGTTTCCTTTTCTTGTCCCCCTTTCCCCCTGTTTAGGTGTACTAGTGCAACAATGCTGGGACCAAGCAATTAAAAAAAAACTAGAAACCAAAGAATAAATAGCATCCTTGCCAGGATGGGGAACAGTGGAGAATGAGGGATCAATTCCTGCATCAGGACAAGGGATCAGACCATCTGAAACACTGCAAAAAATGCAGTTTTTGCCTCTTGAGTGGTGGAGGCGAAAACTATGGAATGAAAGGATAAAACTCCAGGCTGATCCAGATTTCATTTTATGACACTGGGTCATTACGGGGGAAAAAACGTGAATTAGCCGGTCCGAATCCTGGAGCGTTAGTCACATTTTTTACCAATGTGGTCACGCCCTCAGTCTGGGGAAATGGGAATGGAAAACAGCCCTCATTACTTCACATCCCTACCTATATCCATCCGTTTGATCTATGAAATAACATACAATCAGCATGACCACTGGCACCCTATGTAAAAAAACCATACTTTTAAAGGGACCAACCAATCTCACTCTCTTCGATTAACTTCTTTTTTAAAAAAGTGTGCTGCTTATATACCGCCCTATAGTCCTTAAAGCACTCTTGGGTTGGTTCACAAGTTGATGATGCAGGCTACACATTGCCCTCCACCCTCAGCAAGCTGGGAATTCAATTTCCTAATCTTGGAAGGATGAAAGGCTGAGTGAACCTCAAGTCGGCTGCTTGGGGTTGAACCTAAGTCATGAGCAGAGTTTTTCACTGCAGTACCGCAGTTTAACCACTGTGCCACAAGGCTCCTATGATTACCGCTGAAGTTGTTTGCAAACCTTTGAAGCAGCTTCACATTTCTATCAAATGAATGCAGCGTGACTACTCCAAATCCGTGTAGCCGTGCAGACTTGTACAAATAGAGCTGCTTCAAGACTGGTCATCTCATCTTCTTGACCAGCCTGCTGAGGACTTTCCGTTTCCAGCTGCCGGAAGGAGTGAAAGAGCTCAACCAAGACCCTGTTCCAGGGTTGTCAACCCCCCCCTTTCCTTATAAAATCTGTGCTGTTCCACGCAATAATTCCTTCTAAAAAGTGCCTTCTTTGTTATTGTATTCCCGCCCCAACTAACTGTTCGTTTAATCTAATATTCACCCATGAATTCTTCTGTTTGTGCAGTCCTAATGCATGAAATACATGTATAACTGTTATGTTCTTTCCCCTCTCACGCAATACCAGAACCAGGGGACATCCACTCCAACGGAGCGTTGGGACAGTGAGAACAGACCAAAGATCTGTCTCGTGTCTCCCCCCAACGAGCTGGTGAAGGGGGTGGAACTGAGAGAAGAACCTCCCCAGAAGGATTTAAAAACCAAAAAGGCTCCTATGGGGTGATATGATCTTTCAAATAGCCCAGAGCCAAACCATATAGGGCTTTAGAGCTAATAACAGGCACTTTGATTTGGCCCTGGGAACAAACCGGCAGCTGGGGAAGCTCTCAGTACTTAATTAAGGTTGCCACAGTTGCCTGGCATAGAGCAAATAAGCAGATAGAGTAAAAACAAATCTAAGCAAGTATCAAAATATAGTTACAGTTAACAGTAACTATAATAAAGTAATAGAGTAGTCCTAGAACGAGCTGGAATTTTCAGCCTGTATACAATATTGAAACTGCAACGTCTACGTTGGCTTGGGCATGTCGTGAGAATGGCTGATGGTCGGATTCCAAAAGATCTCCTGTATGGAGAATTAGTGCAGGGAAGCTGCCCCCGAGGGAGACCACAGCTGCATTACAAGGACATCTGCAAGCGGGATCTGAAGGCCTTAGGAATGGACCTCAACAGATGGGAAACCTTGACGTCAGCCTGGAGGCAGGCGTT